GAGTCTTACAAGCTCTTAAGCTCATTTAATTTGTATGGTTCATACAAAGGCTTACTTGTTATTAAGACAGATAGATATTTAGACATTAAGAGGCCTATTGAATTCAGTTCTGGACATAGCTTTAAGGATATTAAGGCAGATGTTGAGGAGGATAAGAAGAAACACAAGAAATCTGATCCTACTACTGTATTCTCTAAAGTTGTTAGTAAGGCCCTGAAACTTGTATAAGAACAATAAGAAAAAATGACAGAGTTTAAATCTGAGCAATTTGTGTACTAGAAACAAAAGGATGAGAGGGATAAAGAGTACTAGAGGAAAAGAATACAGTCTAAAGATTGAGCTGTAGAAATACAGATGTTATACAATTTGGAAGACCTGTGCAACTCAAAATTAGATAGATACTGTACACTGTGTGATTCAGAGAATCTAGTAGAGAAGGAACTTACTGTAAACCTTTAAGATAAGCTTTAAGAGATAGTACAAAGGATCAGAGAACTTTGACAGGGTGGAAATTAGTATAGACTGTGTTAAGAGACTAGTTTCTACTATATACTTTAAATAACACTTAAACTATAGTTCTTATAATGTTTAGTAAGGTACTCAATATTTAAATGTTAATTCATTCATTCCTTCTATAGAGTATACTAAGTTACAGGATAGGAAAGACATTTTTATTACTAATGTGTGTTATGAATGAGTACAGAAAGTACCTAGATATTCCTACAGTTTATGTGTTTAAGCAGATTCTTCCTGTATAGTATGCTTATATTATAAAGCTTGTTTCCACCCATGTGATTTATATTCCTGGCCCATTCTACTACTATTTGGTCTTCACTGCCTTAAGTAGTAGTAAAAAGGCCTGTGTTATTATGACTGTCATAGTTTGTAATAGTTTCTGGGTTGTTGTTTAAATCAATCAATATATTGTGTATGACTATCAGAGCTTTAACTGTTATATAAATGATGTTGAGCTTGTATCTAGGAAAACTTTGTAGGGAAGTGAATTGTCCTTTGAGTATCCCAAATGTGTACTCAATCATAATACAGTAATGTAAGAGTTTGAAGTTAAAATCTTAGTAATGGTAAGACTCTTAAGGGTTGTTTGTACATTCATAATTAGTAAACAGACAGATAGTAAACTGAGTGAGTAGGTAACCTATATAAAATTGAAACATTAATGAACCCTGTACTGTTCTAGGAGATTATAATGAACCAAATAGTATTTATAGTACAGATAGTATACCTTTATCAGCTAGAATATACTTGTCTCTATTAAAGTACTCTACTAGGAATTGTCATATCCTAGACTCTTTAAAAACAGTAGTGTCTTGAACATTTCTGGGCTAGCTTAAGTCAAACTCAGTAAAGTGCTTTCTGTCATCACAGACTGTCTAAAGAACAATCTAAGAGAAAGGACTATGAGAGAAATGCAAAAAGACAAAAAGACTATTATACTTACTAAATAGTACTTTTTTCTACTAAAGTAAAGATTTCCATCTTTCCTAGGTTTTGTAGCAAGTAGGATGAGTGAACTGTCTACCATACTAATACACTCTGGAAATCCTTTGGCTTGAAAATGTAATTTCAGTTCTAGACAATGTTCACTAGTAGGCTAAGTAAGAAACTAAGGCCTGAGCCAGCAAAAAGTAGTACAGACACAGGCACAGTATAGAGGTACTGTGCCTACTATAATGGATGATTGCTCTACAACCTTAATATCTGTTGTACTACTATAACACAGTAGAAATACAGTAAGTTACTCCTAATAAGGATACTGTAAACATTTACTAGTTCTCCTAAAGACCTTATCATCCTTGATAAGGTCACTAAGCATCTTGAATGAAGTACAGTTGACTCTAAAGAGACATGGATCAGAATACAGTAGTATACATATGATTCATAACCTTCAAGACATACCTGAAGAACACTTTAAAAATATAATCCAAAGTACCAAACAGCAAGTTATTGAGAAAATCCTTAGAGTAGGATGCACTGTATGAGTCACAAAATGAAGGGCAAGCATGAAGGAGTAGACAATGAGCTTCATATGTAAGAAGAAGGCTGAGGAGCAGGTTGAATTCAGTGTCAAAATGCAGAATACACAGGGTAGATAGAGTACCCATACTCAGAGCAAATTTATTACTGTAATAAGTAGAGCCAGGCATCTTGAAAGGAGAATGGAGAGTATAAGATATACAAGAAAACAGCCTATATATGCACTTAACACACTCTTCCTATGTGGTCACATGACTATGCTTCTTAGTATATTTCCACATAGGGCATTTCACAATTCCTTACCTTAAAAAATAACTTACATAATGATAAACATTATTTGAAATTTATTTTCCCATTTTTGACCAGCAAAAATTATAAACAAAATTTGTAATTTTCTTAAGACAAAAACTATAAATTATTTTTAATATTTATCTATTTGTAATATCTTTAAATAAATGGAAATAATAAT